TTTTTTCACTGCAGAGTGTGTTGTTGCAGGTAAATGTTGATGGGCTACCCCTCTTCAAAAATTCTAAACTTCAGTTCTGGCCGATTTTGGGGAGAGTTGTTAAGCCTACTAAATGTGATCCATTCATAATAGGTTTGTTCAGCGGAGATAAAAAACCAACTAATATAGACGAGTATTTAGAAGACTTCGTTGCAGAAATGCAATACATTGCAGAACATGGTGTCCAGATTGATGGTCTGGGCATGAATCTTGAAGTAGGTTTCTCCTGTTTCATTTGCGACGCACCAGCGAAGGCATTTGTAAAGAATATCAAGCCGTACAATGCATATTCTGGTTGTGACAAGTGTGTTCATGCAGGCGAATATTTTGGAAATAAAGTTATTTTCCCAATCTTAGATGCACCATTGCGTACCGATGTCGACTTCGATGAAATGACAGACGAGAATCATCATTATAATGGTCACCACTCTCCCTTGCAACAACTTGGTATTGGAATGGTTTCCCAATTTCCCCTTGATCCGATGCACTTGGTCTTTCTTGGCGTGATGAAACGGCTTCTCTGGAATTGGCTGAAAATGCCAACAAACCGCAAGAACAGAACGAATTGTCGTATTGGTGCTGCAGCCTCAAGACAGATTTCTGAGTATCTGGTTTCATGCCAAACGTTTCTTCCATCTGAATTTCCTAGAAAGTGTCGATCCTTGGTGGAGTTTGAGAGATGGAAGGCAACGGAATTCCGACAATTTCTTTTGTATAGCGGTATTGTTGCCCTGCGAGGAAAAATCTCTGATGTTTTCTACAGAAATTTCTTGCTGCTAGCTGTCGCAATATTCTGTCTTAGCAGTCCCTTACACTTTTCATCACACTGTGTATATGCTGGTGATCTTCTTCGTGTATTTGTGCAAGAATGGGGCGATTTGTATGGGAGAGAGATGTTAGTTTATAATGTGCATAGTTTAATACATCTGGCTGGGGATGTTATGCAATCAGGTCCTCTCGATACATTCACTGCCTTCCCCTTTGAGAACTTCTTGGGTAAGTTAAAGAAAATGGTGAGAAAACCACAATATCCACTTGCCCAGGTTATCCGTAGGTATTCAGAAAAGGGCAATTCATCAGTCCACAAAGGCAAGGAGAACCTCTCTTCTGAAGTTGTGTTGGCAAAACAACACTATAGTGGACCAGTTCTGCCTGGTTTGGAGGGTTTCCTTCAGTACACAGTAGTGAAATCGGGAGATTTGAGTTATTCTGTCAAAGATGGTGACCACTGTGTTAAGGTTGGCATGAAGGCTGGTCTCATTAGGAACATTTTTAAGGATCCCCACAATGATTCAGAACCAGTATTTCTATTCCAAGCATTTGCGTCAGTTTCAGATTTCTTCACTTATCCATTGAACTCCTCAGATTTGGGAATTGTGAAGGTATCCAATTGTTCTGGGCCAGTTCGACTGGAACCTCTTTCCAACATTTCTTGTAAATATGTAAAGTTGCCCTTCAAGGATGCATTCGTTCTGATTCCCCTTCTTCACCAATTTCACTGAAATGCCATCCAAAATATCTATCTAGAATGTTAGGCCTACATGTACCTACTTGTACACACTGGATGCCAGGAGAAATGTGACCCGTGGTCACTCTTGTTGCTGTCTTTGATACAATGCAGCTGCTATTCTCCTGGGGGCCGTTTCACGAAGTGTGATACTCATTTACTCAACACCTCCGTCGTATTTGAGGGTTATTGCAGTCGTGCTCCACCCGCGTGTGGTAGCAATTTTAACTTTCAATTGAACTACCTGTTGATAGGTACATGATAGTCGTCCAGTAAGGTTGTCACTGGAAATTTTCTAGCTTCGTGCATTTTGGGGGCCCCTTCCCCCTAAAAGATTTTTTCCACCCTAGATAAAGGATTTTTTTTCGTATTTTTGTTCCCCAGAAAATAAAAAAAGAAGAAAAGAGATTACATATTTTATTAAGACAATACACACACAATATAACGNATCTCTAGTACTAAAGCTAGTTGTTGCCATACATACTGTCGTGCCGCTAGCATTACATTGCCGTCTCTCATTAGCACGTAAGCATCGTACTACTCGTAGCACGCTAACCGGAATCCAAGGAAAGGTGGGGTAAACATGCATGAACGGCGGTGGGTGCAGGATAATGAGATGCAATAGGAGGGGGAGGAAGGTGGGAGAAACGATTTGGGAAATGAGTGTAGGATTGTATTCCATGACTAACACTGCAGTAACAGTGTCAGTGACACTATACTACTAGTGTCATTAGCACTAGGGGAAAGACAGTACTAAAATTGTACTAGTTTCATTATTACGTTCTATTTTAGTTTTCACTTGCTTCACCAGCTGTACATCCTGTTCATAATCCCTCATCCCTCATCCCTAATAACGCCTCATTTTCTTCCATTTTACTCCGTGATCACCATCAACATCATATTCTACCTCCTTCACATCTTCCTTCCGCCTGGCCTACATGGCATCATCCCACATTTTCCATTTGTAACTCCTGTGAATTCCTCCTGCCTTCTTGTCCTTTTTGCATTTCATATTTAGTTGTTATTCTTCATAGAACTACCAATATTTACTAATATGTATATTTCTTTTAAAGTTTGTGGCAGGATATAGACTGACTGCTCTATGACAATGTTTTTGTACATCACTATAACTGCACAACTGCATAAACGGTGACAACTCTACTTCTATACACTTTTGCACTGATGATGCAGTTCTTTACGGTATGACATGCAGTAGGGATGATGAAGTAGCCCTGCAGAGTATCCATACTCTTCCTGAAAAACGGGCCTTAACCCCGGGGGGGGGGGGGGGGCACTCCATATATATTGCATGGTAGGTATATGCCGCGTGAGAGACCCC